TACTGAACACAACTCTTCTCATCTCTGTAAGCCAGGTGGAGAGCATTCAACTATGCCAGCACGCTTCCCTCCAATCCTGGAACCCAGCTCAAGGAATCCATGGAGCAACTTCAGCCCCATGGAAGAAGAAACATGGCTCGGTGCTCCCATAGCCCTCTTCTGTGTAACTGCACCACCAGCTGTGAGCAGCAATGCGTTGTGTTTGATGAGCAGAGCTAGGAAAGGTGTTCCCCCACCCCTCAGGCTGATTCCAGCCTCAGGCAGTGCACATGGAAGATGAATTCACCTCCTCCCTAGAGCCAGACCATGGACCCCTCCTACCCATTCCCAGCTTTTCTTGCCAATGCAGGAGGGGAGGAAGAGAAACAAACAACTTTCATGTCCCAAACAGTAAGTTCATATGCCTCCTCCTTCCTTCATCCCGTGTATGGGGAGTCCAGAGATGTCACCCCTAAATCGGTTACCAGAAACGTTGTTTGTACACAAGCCACAGGAGTTAATGTTGCAAGAGGAACATTATCTTTGCCTCTTCCTGACTTTTATTTCATTGATTTAAGTACCCGGCAGCTCTATGCCACAAGTCATTCAAAATTCATGTTCAATAATAGCACAGTGAGTAACGGTTGCTTCATGGCACCAACATTCATCATCGAAGAAGATTATGCAGAGTACTGCGTGCATCAATCATTTGGAAAAACAGAAGTACAGTTGTTATAATAAAACCTTGTCACACGATCAGCCGCTCTCATGTGAAAAAAAATTGCTGTCTTTGTCTTACCATCCATTATCTATAACTATTTCTGATTCATTGAGTCACAGCAGCTGCTGCCAGTTACCTTTAGTAAATAAGAGCCCAGTGATAGTTTGTCTTTAATGCATTGCATGTATCTCTATTTTTTTGAAACAGTCCTAAACACAATCATAAAGTTAAGGCCAGGCTGTCCCACTGAAGGGCATCCAGGAAAATTTATTAGCTGAAAAATTCTGTTTCAGGGTGGCTGAAGTAATTCCGGAATTCAATCAAATTCACCAAACCATTTTGACTGAAATAAAAACATTACCACAAACTTTTAACACATTTTATTTTTAGGAGTTTGTACGAAAGCAGTGGGAGCAGAGGGCAAGGTGCTGACTTTCTATCTTTACCCCACAGACCAGTCATTGCAGCCAGTGAGCAGGGTTCAGCCACACATACTATTCCACAACAAAATGCTGAGCCTGTCAGGCTATTGACTGAAAGAAACATACTGATATAATTATCACCACCAATTTAAGGAACCCAGTTCATCATTTACTTTGCTTTTGTTGTAACTCTCTGTTTTGTATGAACAAAATGCTTTTTTCAACCAAAACATGTTTTGTTCTGTTCTCAAAAGTTCATTATAGACTGATCAAACCCTACATTTTCATTGTTCCTTTTTTTTTCCTCCTTTTCCTTTCAAGGTCAGAATGAAAAAAATTGCACAGACCTACCAAACCTAGTTCTACTGAAGCCCATGGAGCTAGTTGTAGGAGAAGCAGCAAATTCCCGCGTGTGAGGAGATCCCAGGCCAGAAGGGAGGTGTTAACCATTTCTAGTATTAAGTCTTCTTAAGACCATGGTACATGCCACAAGCAAGCCAGGCTGCAGGTCAGCCAAACATTTCTCAGATTATGGTCATCAGCACAGCAGTTACAAAGAACTGGTTGGTCACACAATATTAGTTCTAAATCTAGTTGTTTAATTATATTAAGATACAGCTAATGCCTTTCTTAATGAGATTTCCAAGGGAAGCTATTCCTCTAGTCTGCAAATTCTCTGTGAACATGTGCCAAATATTATGGAAAAAGTCTGTGAACCTTTGTTCTATACACATTTATTTTACGTTTTAGTCCTCCGAATAACCCCTTAACTGCCCAAAGGAAAAGCCTAGTCCTGACCAATTGCTCTGCATTTTAACTTCCTCTGACCCCACAGGGAGCTCAAGTAGGTGTAAAATCTTGGAAAAGGGCCCATTCCAGGCTATGGCCTCCCACACTGCCCTTCCAAGGAAAATATCTGTCTGCACCCACTGTAAAAACCCCTTAGAGTATCTGCAGATAACCCCGCTGAATTCGGCAGAGCAGTACATTTGTGTAAAGCAGGCGGGCTGGGTTCTCAGTGACAGCGAGAGGTTACCCGGCACGTATGCTGTGCTGCAGCCCCGCTCCCCCTCTTTTT